TCATGCTGGCCATATGATCTGGAAAGCTGTCTGCGGACAAATATTGGCTCCCTCAGCCTGAAAGTGAGATGAACGCTGCAACCCCATAGTCGCCTTTGACTGGACTTAACTGTCCAGGGGTCCTTTACCTTTACCTAAAATGGCATCATTGGACAGAGAGGGTTTATGGGATTACTCCTTGAATACACTGGCTTGGGGCAAGCGGTGGGGGAATACTTGCATTATTGGGACACCCAGAGGACAGCCAGTGCATCAGAACAGCCCATCACTGCCTGGAAGGAAGAAGATGACAAAGCTAAAGTCCCTTTCAATTACTTGGCAGCCGCAATTTGTGGCTGACATCCTGCATATGGCTGAGTGGGTCCAATGTGACATGCAGGTCTATGCGGGAAATTGTTCTTAAACCATTTCATCAAGAAAAGAACCATCCTGATGTAAATTTCCAAGGGAATCAAACTCTGCTCTCAGCGGTCCCAAATGAAACTATCTCGCACCGGCAGAGGAAAACGGAGGAAAAACCCATAAAGGTAAAAAGCCCTGTGGGGTGTATTTTCTCGGTGTGAGAGAGCAAGTCATATGGCAAGTCGAGGATGGAAAATTCCCTTAACGCATGGTAATTACACTTATTTAACATAACAACTGCAGTGCTTATTCTTGTAAAATGCTAAGGAGATTTCTGCAAATCAAAATGCAAAGCAAGGAACATTTCTGGGTTGCTAGACCATGGCCCCGGTTGATGAGGGGAGCTGGGGGGGGGTGTCCAAAAACTTAATGAAGCTGAATGCGGGAAGGGGGGGATCTCTTGCCTGTTCTCATACTGCTATGAAATGCCTGAAGAGAAGAACAGGGTCTGGGAGGAAGCCCTAAAAATGCAGGAGGAAAAGCTGAAAGCTCCATCTCATATCCAATTCAGAGGCAAGCGCTTGCCGAGTGATATACAAATTTAACTTGTTTTATCTTTCTAGGAAAGCATTCAAGGTGATTTGTGACTACAATTAAGCAGTCCCTCTAGACAGAAAAGCACTTTAGGTAAAATCAGGTGTCTCTCTTCTCCTGATTCTCCCCCCCCCCCAAATGACAAGTCATTGTATTTTTATTGTTACTCATGTAACAACTTGTTCCCGAAAACTTAAGTAATTTTAACTCCCAACTTTATTGCCTAAGCTAGCCTGCAATACAGATTTGTTAAGGAAACGGATGACTTTTGCATCTTTTGCAAATTATGTCAGTCTTTTGCTTTTTCTGTTGCAACACTTCTTATACAAGAGATGTTTAAAAACACTGTTTTGCTAAATTATTGTAAAAGAATATTGCAATAATAAAGAAAATATGATAGCCATCTACAAATATCTCAAGGACTGTCACATGGAAGAGGAAACAATCTTGTTTTCTCCTGATCTGGAGGGTAGGACACAAACCAATGGATTCAAGTTACAAGAAAGGAGATTCCAATGAAACATATGAAAAACTTTCTGACAGTAAAAGCTGTTCAACAGTGGAATGGTCTCCCTTGGGAGGTTGCAGACTCTCCTTCCTTTGAGGTTTTTAAGTAGAGGTTGGATGATCATCTGTCATGGATGCTTTATCTGATATTCCTGCATTGCGGGGGTTGGACTAGAGGACCTTTGGGGTCCCTTCCAACTCTATAATTTTATGATTCTATGAATTCCTCTTCTATCCCAGCACCAGTAGTTTGATATAGCTGCCAACTTGATCATACAACTAGGTTTTATGAGGCCAGTGATGTTCTAAGTTTGTTCCAGCAAGCCTTGTAGTCCTTTGGGATAGTTATCAGGCATTCTGCAATGACCTCAGACAACCTTATGTGAAAAATGACCTGTTCTCCATCACTAGAGCAGGCTACTCTGGGCTGTAAGCTAGGGTTACCAGATGTCCCCGGTTCCCAGGAACAGTCCCCGGATTTGCAAATCTGTCCCTGGATAAATTCCGTTCCCGGAATGTCCCCAGATTTGCAAATCTGTCCCTGGGAAACGTGGCAGCGGCAGCCTCAGCAGTCCGGAGCCAGCCTGGTAGCGCAGTTGGCTCTGGCTGACTTCAGGAGCTGCTCGCTGCCATTACGCCCGCCATTTTTCCTCGCCAGAAGTCCCCATATGATGTGTTGTGCGCAAGACACATCATATAGGGACTTCTGGGAGGCAAACTGGTGGGCACCACGGCAGCAAGCAGCTCATGAGGCCAGCCAGAGCCAACTGCGCTACCAGGCTGGCTCTGGGCTGCTGACTGCCGCTGCTGCTGCCACTGCTGAAGGGGAACCGGGGACATCTGGTGGTACAGATCTCCTGCCCCCTTTGTTTTGACTGATCGGGGGAGGCTCGGGACTTGCGGGCGGGTGGCCGTTGCCCAGTTTTTAAAAAAAACTCTTTGCGTTTATGTTTCACAGGGTGCGAAAGAAGGGCTTTGCACCTTTATACAATATGCATGTGTGCTTGGGCCCAGGGTATTTTGCCTCACCATCCCCACCACTGGCTCCCTGTTGCTACTCAGCTTAAAAAAAAAAAAAAAAAAAAGTGTCCCGGATTCATTGAAAAAAAATCTGGTAACCATACCGTAAGCCGACCTAGTTTACTGTATCCGCCTGAGACCACGCCGTTCCTCCTTCCTGGTCATGATTGCTTTTTGTTTCAAGAACTTGCGTTTTATTCTGCTTTTATCTAGTACACAGTTTCAGTGGTTTTGTGTTATGAGACTGCTTTTAGCAAGGGGCAGAAATTGACACCATTCTGAAGCAGGGACAGCCACAAAAATATTTTCAGAAGTCATCCTCTGGATGGCTGAATGAGCCTAGGAGATCTTCCTACTGAAAGTTAACACTTCTACGGAAAGAACCAAAGGGCAGCTCATACGATCCATTACCCTGGAATAAAAAACCTTGAACATAACTTCAGCTTTTGAACTGCTTACAAACCCAAGAGACACCCTTTACCTGTATGGTGCTGTGAACAAGACTATAACTATTATCTATGGCAGATAGCATTTAACATTCCCTAGCGTAGCAACCCCTGCTGGCACCTTGGGTGGACCAAAGTTCTTGAGCTTTCCTGAGGAAATCAAAGTCGTCAAGCTTTTTTTAGGGCAGCCGCCAATTTGTGCTGACCATAAGCCAACATAAAACACTGCTGCCCTACAGACCCCAGCCCAGTGTGGGTCGTTCCCTCCTGGCTGCCTTCGCTTCTGCCCATACCCTTCAACGTGTGTGGGATGAAACACTCTGGAGTTCCTTGGTTGTGCAGATAGAAGTAAAAGTATTAACTTCAGGATAATGCTCCTTTCATGATCATGATTAAGTGGATTTACAAACCCAGAATATCAAGGAGTTCTGCTTTTTATGGAAACACGATAGTCCTTGGCATGTCTTTAAAATATTCTGTCAACTCATGGCCCTTGAATGGCTGCAGCTGAGTCCAACATTGATCTAAGCATTTTATAATGGCTACGTCCAATCCAAGAAGTGCCAAAGTGCTAATGGTCCCCTTTGTGTAGAATGAAAACACCATATTGCTCTTTTTCTCTTCCAAAAATACAGCAGCCATTTCAAGTGGACAAAGCTGCATTTGGCAAAACTAAGTTGATGAAAGCTTCTTTCTCATCCCATTCCTACACCATCTCCTGCAGCCTCCCTCCCTATCTTGGCAGAAAAGATATCTTACTGAAGCTCTGAAAGTGTCAGAGGATGCCGACGATTAAACATGCAGGCAGCTTAATGCATATAATGAACATAAAGCATCCACCTTACTGGATGCGCCAGAGATCATTTACTACTGAAGACACAGTCATTGAGGAGGTACTAAAAGGAGAAATGCACAGCATTTGAAGAGGGAAACTAGACACTAGGGAATTGGGCTACAGTATTATCACTTATTACAGAACAGATATTGCTTTTAAGAACAAGCTGGTGACAAATACTTCGGTGTATGGAAAGATAAACCATTCTGTCTGCACTGTGTGCTCCCAAATCTCCCCCCCCCCCACTTAGCAGCTCTCATTCTATTCAGCCTCCAGCTTTTCCTACCATAACGCTGAAAGGGAACCAACAATTCTCTGAATTCAACACCTTGCTTGAAAGTTGACCATGTATGCTTGCAACCCATTTTGGGCTGTTGTGGATGAGCTGGCATCCATGTGGATCACTCTCTTGGCTCCCTCCCTCGGTTGCAGTACTAGGACTTTCAGCTCAACTCTTCCCACAAATTCCACCGCATGGTTTAAACATATATAGATTCTGGTTACACAGTTCAGAAGTTCAATGTAGAGCGTACAGGCCTTGGCACAAACCAAGACGTTGTCCCAACACCTGGCACACCCCTTTGAAGCGTGGGATGGGCACAGACATTTCTCCTCCCAAGTGATGGGGCTGAGCAAGCAAGAGGGCACTTCGTGAATAGGCTGGGTTTACGTGTGCCACCACATCCAATGGGATGTCCTTGGAGACAGGGTCTTAGTCTGCCCAGCCGACTCAGAGTGACCCAAGCTCACACACACAACCCTCCCCCCAGTTGCTGGGGCAACCTCACTCCCAGGAGGTGGGATGGGGCTGGCTTACTCGGCTTTCCCTCCTCTGCTGGGACATCCGCCACCAACAGGACAAGGAAGTTGTCTAGTGGAACTACTCAGATGCTCCCTGCCAACAGTCTCAGTGCTCCCATCCCATTCCTCTTCCCGCTCTGATTAATCCTGCCAAGAAATCCCCATGGGGCTCATAACATTCATACAACGTATGAAATCAGGCCAGACGAGGTGACTACTACTCCACCATCCAGCCATGATGGGTATAACCAACTTCTTATCCAAGATGCATGGGGTACAGCACACAAGACGTATCCCCACAGCTAACCTGTGAGGTAGATAGGAAAGGAGAGATCAGCTTATCTAAGGCTGCTAAGAGATGTTTATGGCTAAGCAGGGATTCAGATACAAGTATAGTCTACATGGGCTGATAGTAATCTCCAGGGTTTCAGACAGAAGTCTCTCCTTGCCCTACCTGGAGATATCAGAGTTTGAACCCGGGGCCTTCCACATGCAAAGCGGGTGCTCTACCACTGAGGTACACCTTTTTCCAGGTCTCCCTGGTCCACATGGCCTACATCCAATAATCTGCCCCACTGAGTGTCCAAGACAAACCTGCTGGCAATTTTTAATGGGTCCAATGATGTTAGATGGTGAACAGAACAGAAAAGCAACTCAGAATGCTTGCAGTCTATGTTAGACTGGGGACAGGGGAGTCAGGGATTGATAAAGGGTAGAATGCTATATTTTATAATATATATTATAGATACGCTGCCACCTCCTTTTGTAATATGCTTGCTCACACATGTGTGAAAAAGATTTCTTTGAAAGAGAGGATTGAGCCAAGTGCTCAGACAAATCTAACACTTAAAAGTTTACAACTTGAACTTTTGACTATTTCTCTTCAAACTAGCTTCAAACTGAAACCACTTTGATTTTTCAAGGGCATTTTCTTCCTTGAGGATGATTTTCCTTATGTGAGAAGGATGCATATTATTTTGAGTACATCTGTTTTATTAAATTGCTGTTGCACTCCGTATTCATTTGTGCTTTCTTTTTGTAACTGTTGTTTTCTGATTTTATCCAGTGGTTGGTTGGTCGGTTGGCTATTAATTAAACATATATTTCACATTTTGTTAGCAGTACTTCTCTCAAGTGCCCTGAATAAGGAGTAGAGCTGAGGTCAGGGAGATGAGATCAGGAAGTGGCAAGGTAAGGCTTGGCTGTTCTGAGAAAGGCCCAGGAAGCAGCAGAAGGAATCCAAAGACTGTGGTGTTGAATGCAAGCTGCCAATATTCAGAGGCTCAGTGATGAGCCCAAGTTGCGTATCTAAGAGTTGCTTTAAAGAAACACTAAACTATACCCAACAGTCATAGTAGTATAATGTGTCAAGGCAACTGCTGCAGTAGAATTAATCCATCTTTCTAGACAAATCTCTAACTACAGCCATTCCTTTGACCAGGGGAGTGCTGAGCTATCATATTATTAGCAACAATAAACAACTGTAATGCATAGAACAAAAGTGGAGCCTGGGGAGCAACATGAGATGGCAATTCTAGCTAAACTGAGTAGCAACTAAACTCAAGTGCTTTGGAGCACTGAGGTTTTCAAAGATACAAACTGTCATCATCATGCAACTTCTAAGACAGCAAGCACGCTACAAGAAAAAACACAATGCCACACAGAGCACAGATGTTAATGGGAATAAAATACAATGAATCTTTCTTGGGCTGCTGTGCCCAATATCAAGTAAATATTTGACTGAATACGCACAGACACAGATTTAACATGAAGAGGGTTTAAAATAGGGTTAAATAAATTCATGAAAGGTGAACAGTCAAACACCTGGCCTGGCCAGGCTGGTAGAAAGAGAGAGGGCCTCACTCCTTCTAAGAGCTGCAATGGTGCAAGCAATCACTGAGGAGCTATTTTGGTCTGAACCTCTCAATCTTAGAAGTAACTTCCGTAATCCTAAAGGAAAAAGTGAATGGCTGTACTCACAGAAAGGGATCTGGTCCACCATAATACTTTCTCCAAAGCCTAAATAAGTGTTTGAACCAGTGCCTTCCATACCCAAGTCCTTACACCACACTGATCTATTGAAGATGTCAGCCTTATTAGCTTCCTCTTACCTGTAGCTTAATGCTACCCAAAAATGTCCCCCACAGCATTGCCAGCAGATGGCCCAGTTCCCCTCCCCATGACCTCAATTCTTTTCAGTTAGCCTTAATGAGAGTCAAGCACATGCACTGAAGCATGAAAGGGCTTCATAAAAAGAAGGAATTGGCTCGTGGTAAAGCTAGTTTTCGGTCCACTTCTCCTACCATAGGAAATATTCATTAAGAGGCTGCAGCCCAGGTGCCAGAGCAAATGGCTTCTATTTTAGCAGCATTCCTCCTAAGACTCTTTGAAAGTAGCGTTGGAGGTAGCTTCATTACAGAAGTAATGGAGCCTGCACAGAGAAATCAGTGCCTTGCGACTTTAGCAAGATCCAACCTAGATATCCCACCCTCCCTTTGCTACAGACTCAATTCCTGCCCCCAATAATAAATAATAATAATAAAATTGCCCTCTGCACCATCACTGCACCCCTCAGGTGACTGGTATGATTCAAGATGGCAGTATCAAGGATCAAATGGAGGGCTCAAGACCAATGGTGGAGAAACTAAGAAAATGAGACCATAGGCTTTTTAATCCTTCAGAGATCTTGCATTGCCCTAGTTATATTATTGTCAGTAAACACCATTAAGAGGAAACTTAGCACATACAAACAAACTGGTGATTTTTCTGTAGATAACTGGCAAATATGGAGAAAACTGGCAAAGCTGCTGTGCAACAGGAACCTATTCCACAGGCCAGAAGCAGCACAATTGTTTGCCTGTAGGCAGACACAACCACATCCTTGAGTTTACTCAATCCCCAGAACATTCCCACCCTCACACTTGTGTGTTACACAACTTCACTGCATTAGTGTTGTATGGAAGCTGGGGGTTGGTTTTTTTGGCATCCATGTGATCATATCCCTAATGCCTATTAAAAACTAATGATTGGTGAATTGTAGATACTTTTTTCTATGTCTACCAAAACATAGCTGAGTAACTTCAACATGAAAAACCAAATAAGAAATGCATGTATCAAAGGGAGGATTAAAAGAAAAAGAAGTAAGAGATGACCTAAAAGATAATAAAGAAGGTCAACCACCCACCACAGACATACTTCAGGGAGATGAGTGATGGATTGTAAGTTATGTCCACTGACTTTGGACAGAGAAGTTTCAATGTACTGTGAAGTTAATGCCCATCGTATGAAAGGCTGCAGCCAAAAACATGGCTCTCTCTTTCCCTTGAAATTGCTTTGCTCTGTTTCCTAGTTTGTTTATTGTTCTAGTAATGGGCTCCATTTTAACGTGTCAGATATTGCATCATCTTTATAAATGGGAGCCATCATTATGCAGCCGGCGATCAATGAGAATGGACCATAACAACATGTTGGGCATCGAGGGATGGCTGGAATGGTCTATTTCCAGGATAGGTCAGTTTCACATGTGTTTATTTTTAAATCTGTTCTGTCCTGTTTCCTCATTAATCTACTGTTGTTTTCTTAAAACTAAACTGTACAAAAAAACCCGCATGTAAAGATGTACTTAAAACAAAACATTTAATTATTTCAATTTGTAACTGTATTTTAGTCTCAAATATGGATTTTTGTTTTCTACCTTTTGATAATGCTTTTTGAGTCAAAACTATAAAATAATTATTTCCTGATCAATGTATTAGTTTGGGAGATGTGAATTAGAGTCATTTCCTGAAAAATGTGGTCCAAACAAAATTCTCTACGCATGCATTTAGAAGAAATGGAAATTGCACCAACTCAAAAGGGCTGGGGAACTTTGAATTGCCAACCATCTCCATGGTGGGCCATGCATGCCTACAGTGCCAGACATGATCAGATCAACTCAATTACTGCTCCCAGCTCCCCTGCCTGCTGCTCCCCCTTCCCACTTCATGCCCCCCTTTTCTAATCAGATAACAAACAGTCTAATAACTGGCTGTGTGTCTGTCAATCCAATTATTTCCTATTTGGGATGTGCTGACACTCCATTAAATAAAGCCGACAGATGGCAAGATCTTTCATTATCGTTCAACTGACTGATTAGCCGCTTATGCGCAGCACAGGAGCGCAGAAATCAATGCAATCAGGTGTTCGTCGACTGAAAGCTCCAGAGGGGCAAATGCCAGAGGGCAGGGACGAAAGCTGCATCCAGCATACCAACACAGCTTAAACTGAGCTCCAACACCTTCTGTGGTCTCTTCTCAACTCACGCTCACACATCTGGGGCTGAGGAATGCAGGGTCGCTGCTTGCTTTTTGTAACCAACAGCTTATTAATATCAATAGAAGGTAATGGATAAAATGCCAGAGAGGTAGCATACTACTGTGATGCCGGTTGCATCACACGTAAACACTCCCAACCCACATCCCAGCAATGGGACCATCATGCACCTCTTTTCCACAGGACCCAAGTACCAAACACACACTGACTTGGATGTAGAGCTCTCAAGCAAGGTGCCTCTCTTTTGAGAGGTACAAATACCCCTGGACACAGGAAGGATATCTTAAGGGACTGACAACTCTGCTTACTTGATCTGCAAAATAGGAAGCGCAGCATCCAATTTACAACATTATTCACAGAAGCTAATCCTTTGACCAACCTGACTGTCTTGGTTTACTTCTTCTAATACGCAGAACAAGCAGAGGATTCCATGTGTGATGATGACGCAATGCTGCTGCTGTTTTGTCTATGAACTTGGTTTCTACTGGATGAGAGTCAGGCTACTCTCTTTAGAGAAATATAGGAGTCCAGGACTAATTCTGTTCCATAGCTGGTTACAGTCAGAATTGAGCACAACAGCTTTGCCTGTGGCCATGACTGCACTCTCCACATCTCAGAGCTCCAGTGAAATAAAAATCCGTAACTGGAAAGAGCCCTATGTTACATCTCTGAGCACAGACGAAAGGAGAAAGGAGGGAACAGGTGAATTCACAAAAATGGAGTACTATATTAGAGACCACTTCTTTATAGTAGGGGGGAAAGTGGAGAGAATTAACCATCTCCTTCCGTGAGGATAAAATATTTGTGGGACCAAAAAATTATTATTATTTAAAAAAATATGTTTGTGGGACTGCATTTAAAAGTTGGAAAGCACATGGTTTTATATTTCAGTTATCAAAAATCTATACATTTTTCTTGCATTGGAAGCCATCAATGAAATTCTAACATTTTCAGAAGTTCTGGTACCAAAGCAAGAAAAATGGTATTCTAGGAGCTAAAGAAGCAGATTACGGTGTTGGATTCAACTTTGATATGCACCACAAAACTGGAAGCAATGCTAGTCTTTGACATTTTCACATTTGAAACAGAATGATACTCTCTCTTTTCTAACACTGGAGTCCTATTTGTTAATACTGGAGGCAGGAAAATGGTAAGTACTTCGGAATCTGACGCTGCTAGCAGCAGCTGCTCAATGCTGCTACACGACAAGATCAGTCTTA